AGGCATGATGGGACTTGTAGTTCACCAACAGCTGGAGGGCCACAGTTGCCCACCACTCATGTAGAGGGAATAGAACATCTGAGATATTTTTATTGCTGCATGTGCTCCCGTTTGGGAGATCCACCCTCCAGTTTATCAATATTATTGAGAGTGGAAGAAATCCCAAACCTTTGGTGACAACCAGGGTTTCCCTAACTTCCTGTTTCGCTATGGGACAGGAATTGAAAGGAAATCTCCACAATGGGACACAGGTGACGAAAAAAAATTGACAGGGGTTAGCAAGAATTAATTAAAAAAAAAATGGTTTGTCTTTTGTTTTACTTTAAGAATTCCTTTTTCTTTCCTACTTATTTAGCAGATTAAAATAGACCTGCCCTAAGGAAACTGTATAGGCTGCTTTGACTTGTTTTCCAGCAGGAGCGCCCTATGGACTATACTTTCTGCTATTGACAACTTCCTTTTGAAAATGTCTGTTACCCAGGGCTGGATCTAGCCTTTCTGATGTGAGGAGAGTGCAATGAAAAATGTCAGGGGGGCAGAGAATGGGAGGTCAGCAGGGCAGTGTACATGTGTGTGTATAAAGTGCAGCGCTATAAACGCATGAACATGAAAAAGATATTGATGCAATAATCATTAAGAATTATGCAAACAAATAAAGTGCAACTAAGTGAATCAATAAAAGTCCAAAATGATAATATATATTAATCAGCAAATTACAAACGATAATAGTCAAATCAATTGCAATGTATCCAAGTGAATAAGTGCAAATGTGTAAATATCCATGAAGGGAATCCACCACCTTGGATGGACGTACACTCACCAGAAAACAAACATTAATGCGCATCTGAATATAATCTGTCACATCTGGAGGTGCAGAGGTGTAGAGGCAGCTCAGGGGTTAATCCTACACCTTCATCCATATACAAGTGGGGCAGGTCTCACTTGTCCTGGGGAAAATCAGCTGAACCACAGGAGCCAGAAACGCTAATATAGTGTAGTATTTATTTGAGTAATTCACAGAACAACAGTAAAAATCCACGTGGAGTAAGGTAGAATGTAAAATAAAATACCAAGATGGCCACCGCTCCATTCCTCGGCAGCGGTGGCATGACTTCAGCAATGTAGGCTCCACCCGACGCGTTTCGTGCAACAGCACGTCTTCAGGGGTAGCCCATCCCAACACCCCCAGGTGGTGGTGTCTGTCTCTATGTGAGAAGTGATCTCAGAGCGAGTGTGAAAGAGGACCTAGTGGTGGAGAGTGTGATGAGGCTGAAGCATTATGGGTGGAACTGCACATGGGGGTGCACACTACAAAGGTAATCAGTGGAGTTTTTCATAGGCCTCCCAGTGTTAATGAGGAGGTGGAGACTCAGCTCTTTGCACAGATCGAAAGGGCTGCAAGGGCTGGGACAGTGTTAATAATGGGGGATTTTAACTACCTGGAAATTGACTGGAGTAATGGTACTGCAGCAACAGTTAAAGGGAAAACATTTTTTTAAACCTACTACAGGACAATTTTATGGTACAGTTCATAGAGGCCCCCAACTAGGAATGATGCTCTGCTGGACCTGGTAATCTCAAACCATGCAGAGCTTATTACGAATGTCCATATAAAAGAACATCTGGGTAGCAGTGACCATAACATGATTTCATTTATTGTTGGCTGTAAACAGTAAGCACATATCCTCAACTTTTTCAAAGGTTGAGAGCTGCTCTCCAAGACTTAGACTGGGAGGGAATATTGGCATCGATGAACACAACACAGAAATGGGAGTTCTTCAAAAAGACTATATGTGAACACACTGAAAAATATATTCCCATGCGCTACAAGTTTAAAAGGCTAAAAATCAAACATCTGTAGCTTACAGCCAAAGTTAAAAAAGCTATAAATAATAAGAAAAGAGCTTTTATTAAATATAAAAATGAAGGAACACTATCATCGTTTAAACATTACAAAGAATATAACAGAATATGCAAAAAGGAAATAAAGGCCGCAAAAATTGAAAATGAACGACAGATTGCAAAAGATAACAGGACCAACCCTAAAAAATTCTTCAAATATATTAATAGTATAAAAAGGTCGGTCCGAGCATGTAGGCCCTTTACAAAATAATCTAGAGTGGATGACTGGGGGCAAATTTATTTAACACCTTCTTCAGCTCTGTGTATACAAAGGAGCATTAGGGGAGCTCTTGTCCATAATGGGCATGGTATTAACACCCCAGATGATCCACATTGGCTCACAATTGATATGATCCAGAAATATTTAGACAGAATAAAGGTGAATAAAGCACCTGGACCAGATGGCATACACCCACGGGCCCTTAAAAAATTGAGCTCTGTCATTTCACAGCCATTGTTTTTAATTTTTAGGGACTCTTTAATGACTGGCATAGTACCACTGGATTGGCGTAAGGCCAATGTGGTGCCAATGTTTAAAAAGGGATCAAAATCTCTACCAAGTAATTATAGATCAGTTAGTTTAACTTCTATAGTTACATATAGTTACATAGTTAGTCTGGCTGAAATAAGACAAAAGTCCATCCAGTTCAACCATAGAAAAAAAAGTTATAATCCTATACCCACAGTTTGTCCAGAGGAAGGCAAAAACCCAGCAAAGCATGATCCAATTTGCTCTTGCAAGGAAAAAAAATTCCTTCCTGATCCCCCGAGAGGCAATCGGATATTCCCTAGATCAACTGCCCTCAGCATCTCCTGTGAAAGCAGAAAGTGAGTAAGTGTTTGGGGACAAGGAAGTGCATTAAGGGTAAAAAACTATAAGGCCCTTTTCACATATCTCATAGCGGGAATTTTAAAGCATGATTCTGCATATTGCATTGGACCAACCCATTCACATGAATGGGCTACCCTATGCATGTTTGTTGCTCCTGCTCTTTTTTGGATGACAAGCTTCACACAATTCTTAAAGATGCAGATTTCCACGCGACAATTGGGGCAAAATCACTCCGCATCTGAGGTGCAATTGAAGGATAATGGGATTCAAATCACTTCCCTTGACGCGTTTCGTCACGAAACGCATCAAGGGATGTGACGTCGGACGTTACAGATTGACCGGAAGTAGCAGAGCGGCCATCTTTACTAAGGTGATATCAATACATGCGTTCCTGGAAGCTGCTTGGAGATCCTGTCATATGGGAATACATGCATTTTACTATTATATATATGTAAGCATATTTTATTAAAGCCTCGACTGATTGATTTGAATACTACACTACATAGTCCTTTCTTTCCTTCTGGGTGATGCTTTATGGACGGCCTTGAGATGTGTATCCTATGAGAGCAACCTTATTCTTATATCATGCTTGGGGACAAGTGTTAGTCCGGTAAAGCGCATGATTTGGAAGGTGGAGGAGAGTGTTACACGAGTGATTATTATATCACATATTTATTTGGAGGATACTGCACTATTATTGAAAAATCTTCTTTTGGAGGTATTTTGCACAGCTATTATGGAATGATCCTGAAGGAATTTTTGGAGATTACGTAAGGGGAATATTATCCTAAAGGCCTCTGTTTATTTTATTTAGGGTAAGAGTATTCACTCTAGCTACTTAGAAGCTCTCACGGGGTGTTTCACATTGTCACGTGATTCACGTTTTTCACATATTGGCAATTCATTTATGTTTATATATATTTTGATCATTTGAATATTGAGGATAATACTACTAATAACGATCTAGTTTTTTTATATATATTTTGGAGGTATACGGTGGAAGTCGACAATATGCTTGGATTATTACATCGAAGGAATAAAGATTTGAGAAGATTCACTGACACTAAGAGGGTTTATATTTTATACTAAAAGGGTAATTTCAGAACTTGTGTACATGGAATAATATTTCCTGCATTTTCTTTTACGTTATTTATTTACTGATACTGAGTTTGAATAAGCCCTCAGCCAAATATTTTTAGATGGCATTGGGAAGTGTTAGAACCTCTGATAGGTATATTATTTATTTTGGTGTCCCCATTTCATTTCCTATCCCAGGGACAGCCAGTCAACTTTCCAACAAGGACATTGACAGCAATACAATCTTACTGGTTTTAAACCTTTCCAGCACTGTCCAAAATGAAAAAAAAAATAAGTTTTGGCTTTTGTTCTACTACAACATTAGTTCCACTTCCCCCAGTAACTTATGGTATTGCGTGGGTAACAATGCATATCTAGGCATTTAAACTGTTACGTAAATTGTAAACAGTTCTCTAGGACTAGAGTATACAGTATGTTTCATATGTTCCAATTGATTTCTTTTTTAACTCTTCATTATGTAAGGCAAGTTCCGTAAAACATCCAATCTTCCTAAATCTAATCTGGCCCAGATCCTATTCATCCCAGCTGTGTGCATGTTACCCTGAAGAATGCAAGTCCCCAAGCATTGTGTACACAGTGAGAAAGTGACTCATGCCTTTTCCTTCAATCTCACGCTTTATCATCGCCCTGCCAATTTCGGTCATTGCTCATTATAACTCATACAACAGCTGTAACGGGATCTCTCAGAGACTTTGTTCTATTGGTCAGATTTAGAGAGCACAAGCTAATTTATATTAAATATGAAAGAGGTACAGGAAGATAAGGCGCTGATTGTTATGATCATTACCACTGCAATTATTATTACATCAAAGTTTATTTAACCACCTTCCGTCTGCCCTATAGTACAATGATGGGCGCAAGGTGGTTCTCTCGTTCTGATAGGATGTCATATGATGTCCTACCATTCTCACTGTGCATGCGCGGCTCAGGGAGTGCACAGCGCGGCAATCACGAGGGGCACAGCGGATCACGGAAAGAGCCGAGGATGTTGGCTCGGTCATGTGATCAGCTGTGTCCAATCACAGCTGATCACATGTAAACACGGAAATGCTGGTTATCGGCATTTCTCTCCTCTCGAGCTGTCACGCTGACAGCTCGAGAGGAGAGCCGGTAATCGGCTTTCCGCGGAGGGGACATGTACACTGATCATCAGGGCACTGATGATCAGTGTGCCTGATGATCAGTGTGGCCCCAGAAGTACCACCTGTCAGTGTCCATCAGTGCCACGTGCCAGTGCCCATCAGTGCCACATCAATGCCACATATCAGTGCATACCAGTGCACATCAATGCCACATATCAGTGCCCATCTGAGCTGCCTTTCAATGTCACCCATCAGTGCCAGTCAGTGCCACCTATCAATGCCAATCAGTGCCACCTATCAGTGCCAATCAGTGCCGCCTATCAGTGCCAGTCAGTGCCACCTATCAGTGCCAGTCAGTTCCGCCTAACAGTACCAGTCAGTGCCGCCTATCAATGCCAGTCAGTGCCACCTATCAGTGCCAGTCAGTGCTGCCTATTAGTGCCATATATCAGTGTCATGTATCAGTGCTGCCCTTCAGTGCCCATCAGTGATGCCTGTCAATGCCCATCAGTGCAACCTACCAGTGCCTCCTCATCAGTGCCCATCAGTGCCACCTATCAGTGCAGCCTATCAGTGCCCATCACTGCAGCCTCATTAGCGCACATCAGCGAAGGAGAAAAATCACTTATTTACAAAATTGTATAACAAAAATGAAAAAAAAACTTTTTTTTTCAAAATTTTCAGTGGTTTTTGGTTTGTTTAAGAAAAAAATAAAAATCCCAGAGGTGATTAAATACCACCAAAAGAAAGCTCTATCTGTCTCAAAAAAATGATAAAAATTTCATATGGGTACAGTGTTGCATGACCGCGCAATTGTCATTCAAAGTGTGACAGCACTGAAAGCTGGAAATTGGCCTGGGCAGGAAGGGGGTATAAGTGCCCTGTAGGCTAGTGGTTAAAGCCCACCTTTTGTTTCATTTTGGGACACAGTAAGAAAAGTAGGGAAATAAGGGCAGACTGACAACTCATGGGGCCCCCAGGCAATAGGGGATCATGGGGCCCCTGTGTCCTTGCCCAAACTCAAAAAAGCCTATGAAAAAGGTTCCCGGTGGCATCTCATGGGGCCCCCTACTGACCCCGGGCCCTCAGGCAGTGCCCAAGTTTCCAAATGGTCAGTCCGCCCCTATTTGGGAGGGTATTTTACTGCCACTAACCAGCAATGAAAAGAATGGGGAAGGGGGGGTATTGCCACTGAAATTAATGATTTGGAGGGGGTGTTACTGCCACTAAGAAGCAATAATTTGGGGGCTATCCTCCCATGATTTAGGGAAAGGATTACTGCCATTGACCACTATTAATTAGGGGAAAGGGGGGTTTATTGTCACTGGCCACCAATAAATTGTGAAGAAGGAAGGGGGACTACTACCACTGATCCTTTGTCCTGAGGTTTATGTGTGCCTGTGAAATAGTCACAGTAATTTTGTGGATACAAGACTGCTGCATATTTGTGCTTTGTATACTGTAGCCACGTTTACATATCATTTGCATCTCGCTTTCTCAGTTTCTGAAGTTTTCAGGCACATCCTCATTGCTTCAGTTAATGTATCATCGAGATATTTGTTCAGTTAGGGGTGTTTTTTCTTGCTGGTGGATTTGCTACATTGGGTAAAGCATCTAAATATTATTAAACAAAAAAGATAACCTCTGCTCTTACCAAACACTAATGTGTATAAATGCCTATTGAATTGTGTTGCAGCTACTCACTGTTGTGCATTCATACACCAATAGAAATCAAGTGCAATGCAACTAAAATAAACTGTGAAAAAATAAGATAAGTATAAATAAATGTCATATGTCAATAATAACAATATCATATGATTAAGTCATTGATCACGCAATGAAATGCGTCAGTGGGCGAGGTCATGTGACGTCATCACGCCTGTAAGTGTGAGTTTGGTCATCTGTAACATCAGTTCGGGGATATTCATCCTTAAGGGGGCAATATGACCCTATGAAGAGTGTTTGTTTTTCTTTGTGTTTTATTCTTTCTTAATAAATTGGAGTAATTATTTTAATACTGCACTATGAGATTCTTTCTATTTTATCTTTTTTATTGAACTGGTTGGAGTCTTTGGTGTTACAGGGAGTGACACTCATCTACTATAAGCTGGTTGGAGGAGTGCTGCGAAGGGTTATACCCAGATTGTTGGGAAAGCGTTTTTGATCATACCTTTGTGTAGGTCAATTCCAGAGGTAAGTGGCAGCACTGAGAGGTGGTGGTGTGTCAGCGAGTTTTTATGGAGCATATATATTATATGCATGTCATGAAGCACCGTTTTTTTTTTTTTATTTGTTTGTTTTTTGAAGAAAGGAATCCAGATTAATAATTTTGTGGGACTGCATGGACTTTTGCTTTTAATATCACATAAATTGTATTTGCGTCTCGTGTTTAGATTGGTTTAATTCACTGTATATGTGGTTCACATGAATGTTTTATAGTATATGATTTTTTTTATATTCTAATTTTTGCATAGTTTATTTTAGTTGAGCTGCACTTTTATGTTATTAACATCTGTATATTATTACTTATTATTAATTATATTAAGTCACTGGTACCATTTTCAATTAAGGCCCCAAAGAAGTTCCTGAATATACACAAAAACCAGCTTGAGAAGCGTTTAAATGTAAAAGATACTAGCTCTAAATGTGGCATCCCCCTAAATACTTGAAGTTTATTGCACAGTTATATTGCTTTCTTTGCTACTGATTTGTGTATATTACCTGGTAAGAAGTATTTCAGGACTGAAGCAGGTTATTTTTACCTTGTAGGAAGTGAGATCACTCCCCCTCTATCATGGGAATGCTGCATGAATGGATGACTCAGAATTGTTGTGCAGCGGTGGCACATTTGGCAGCGTCGCCCACAATTGACCTGAAGTGAAATGGCTCAGGCATGCATGATCCCCTTGGCATAACATGATATCTTTTTACTGACTCAGCTGTCAGCTTGGTCTACAAGCAGTCTGTGATTTCATTAGCATACTAAGGCTGGCCATACATTATACAATTTTCTTGAGATTTTTACTTTAGATTTACCAAAAACCATATAATATGAGGTCAAACCTAAACAACACTTTCAATTGTATCCAATTAGGCGGGTCCTTGCACTACATAGTTGAAGGTAAATCTAAAGGAAATTGGGCAGAAATTGGACAGAAAATTGTATAGTGTATGGCCAGCCTTACAAGCAAATCATTCAGGCAGTGCAAAAAAAAGCAATTTTGATGTGAACAGTGCCATAATGTACCAACCAGAGTTTGAATAACTGTAGTCAGACCAGAAAAGGTAACATTTTTGTAGTTGCTATGGGTTAAGAATAAGAACAGAGGGCAGATCTTCCAGTGGGGACAAGAGAGGATTTCACTTTCTTTGGAAAGATCTCCTCTCACTTTCAGTTGTGTCCTGAAACAGGAACTGAAGGAAATCTCCCCCAAAAGGAATATAGACAGCAAATGTTTTTTTTTTATATTGACGGGCTTTAATTATATCTTATTATTCTCGGCTCAATCTAAAATGTTCAAAAAAAACATTGGCTTCACGTGAGTGTTCAAAATCATGATATGTGTACATTTTTGTTTATTAAAAATCTTACAATCAACATAATAATCATGATATGTGTAGCACCCTCTAGTGCTAGAAAGGATTTGTTTTGTTAGAAGCATGGAAGAGTGGATTCACCTCAGGGCAGGCTGGGTGGATCTACAGGTCAGGGCTTCTGGAGCCCTCCCACCCTTCTAGAAACTGCTGGAACTTTCTGGAAGGAGGAGGAGGCCCAGATTTGCATGTTTTGGGAAAGTTGGCCAATCCCCAGGCAGGAGGCCAGGCATGGTAGGCAAGCGCAACCCTTAAATATGACAGAACCTGTGCAGCAGGGGAGACGGGTGGAAGATGGACTAAAGGAAGGTGCTGGAGAGTGAAGCCTGGGAGGAGAGCCTACCTACAGACTGGTTGCTGGACAGAAGGATCACCACTGTGCCAAGTCTCCTAGAGAGGACAATCCTGTCAGCAGGGAAGGAAAGGCCGGAAAGCAGCTGAAACCCACCAAGCGGACAGGACAGTGTGAGTCATTGTTCACCCCCTGGACCAGATAAAGGCAGAGGACAGTCATGTGCAATACTCACTCAGTCCTTGGACTACTTAAGTGGAAGATCTTGAAATTCCTTGCCCAGGAATACCGTCAGTGCAGCTGGGTGAAGAAGGAAGGATTCATGTGGGGTCTGAGGAGGTACATTAAGGGGACCTCAGTGCTACTTAAAGAGACAGTGCTGCTTTTTAATCCACATTTTGTAGATTGTACCATTTGCTAAGAAGTTTGTCCTCAATTTTGCAGTTCCTTGGGCATTCCATATGCCCCTAGACCCCATCCGAGTTGTTAACCTCTCAATAAAAAACAACAACAAAACAGCTCAAGGACTGTTTTACTGACTGTGTGTGTGATGACTTGGAAAATGTGTGTTGCCTGGTCGTGCAAAGCTTAGGGGGGACTCAATCAAATCCAGTGGCCTTCAACGGGTAGCGCTACATATACAATGCATCCATTGAAGAACATAGCATGTAGAATTGCATATTGTTTGTTTACTTAAAATGTAATTCTACTTTAATTATTTTGTTTAGGATGAGTGAACAAGGGTTTGATCACGTGCCTGGTTTTTATTACCATCGATGACCCAAGATGGGGAGATATCCTTCACCTTTAGTCCAGTCAGGTCTCTGATTTCAGCTGAACTTGCTGTGAAGTACTTTCCCATTCTAAGTCTTCCGGTAAGATGAAGAGCCGGTAACTCGTTCTCTCTATCAAAGTACTTTATTCATAAAGGGTACAGTGTGCAAGTTACAGCAGCTTACGCGTTTCGGTAAAAAAAACTTGGCTATGAATAAGTGTTTTTACCAAAAGGCACAAGATGCTGTAACTTGCACACTGTACTCTTTATGAATAAAGTACTTTGATAGAGAGAACGAGTTGCCGGCTCTTCATCTTATACTACTAAGCCAATGAACCTTAAAAAACATATGGGTTGCAGTACAACACAGAGTAATGCACTACCGTGTATTGTAGTGCGCTGCATCAGGAAAGACTTATAGAACTGGGTTTTGCCCATTCTGTTGTGTTGGCAGCTCATTAATTTGAATGGGCTGCCTAAAAACAAGGCACATGAACATGTGACACAATGGGGTTTATTTACTAAAGCTGGAGAGTGCAAAATAAGGCTCACTTCTGCATAGAAACCAATCGGCTTCCAGGTTTTATTGCCAAAACTTAATTGAACAAGCTGAGGTTAGAAGCTGATTGGTTTCTATGCAGAAGTGAGCCTGATTTTGCACTCTCCAGGTTTAGTAAATAAACCCCAATGTGTGTTAACATACATGGATTAACACAACACACCAAAATGAATACAGGGAAATGGGCCCTTAGAGAATCAATGATTTGATTTTTTTTAATTTTGCAGCACAGCTCCCCATGCATATTTGTTTTTTTCCAAAATCCATACGCAATTACATCTCTGTGCCAAACAACCCACAAATGTTAAAAGAACAATGAAAACGATCCTGTTCCTTTTTGGCTTGGTGTATGGGAAACAGTGGAATAACGAATTACTATAATTTAAAGGGTAGTTCCACTATATAGTTGTGCTCAAAAGTTTACATATCCTGGCAGAAATTGTGAAATTTTGGCAATGATATTGAAAATATGACTGCTCGTGCCAAAAACTGTC